TACTGATAAAATGGCCTTTTTCTTGTAATTTACTAAGATATTTGTGAACTGATGGAGACTCCTGTCCCGTATGACTGTGATCTCCATCAGTTAACCATTTGTTTTTCCCTTTCCTTTGTTCTTGGGCAGCCAGGAGTGCCCGGGGAATGTCACACATATCCCACCTGGGGGGACAGGCAATGGCAGCACGGGTAACTTGCCTTAGGCTCCCTCATCAGAAAGAGGGGAAATGTCTTGTCCAAGTCCAGTGGTAGAGACAGCAGAGCCCACACCTCCTGCCTCTGGCCCGGCCACCAGCCACCTGATCCTTACTTCTTCTCCACCCGCAGCCTCCAAGTGCCCACAGCCTCTTCCCGGCCTCAGGTTCCTCCTCGAGAAGTGAATGGCTGGACCAGACATGGGAGGCTCATTCTAGCTCTGACAGTCATGATGTGGGCAGTGATCAAGTTCCGCATGACTCCAGAGTGGCAGCTGGGTGAAAATGCCCACCGTCTACTGTAGAACTAGAGAATGGGGGTGTCGGAATGACTCTGGGAATCACTCAGGGCAGGCAATCACAGCTCCACAGACAGCATGGGGGCCAGAATGCACATCTCATGGCCCATGACCCAGTGCGCTCTCCCTGGAAGAGATTTCCAAGTAAGAATACAAGTGAGTGCAGACCTTTTGTGTTCCCCTGGATGCCCTGAAGGAAGCTCCTAACTCCCGATTTAACCTCCTGGGCACATTGCCCTAAAGACGTCAGCTAGTCCTGCCTGTGTTTCCTCTACTCTAAGAAGAAGCCTGACGAAGGCACACCTTATGTACATGCAAGTCTATTTGTGTTGTTTACCTGGCATTTGCCCTGTACACGAATTTTATAAAGATAACACTTATAAGACTATTTTCTTAAACCATAAAAACCCAAATGGAAGTTTGAGAAAGTTTCCGAATTTCAATCAGCAAAGTTGAGTTCCTCTAATTGTGAGGCTAGAATTCGAGGGACCCATCCGTTGGGGTGCTGACCTTCTGTGGAATGGGGTGCTCAGATTAAGAGAGTGTGGGGCTGAGGGGAGCCCTTGGAGGGAGGCACACATGCCTGAAGGGGTGACCGGCTGTGGGTCCACACAGGAGGGGAAATGCGTGGCATTTCATACCTATGCCTTAGAGGCCTCAGCTGGATGAAATTAGGAATAAAATCCCAACTCCTTTTACATCTGTTGAGTGTGAATCCGTCAGAAGCCTTCTTGAATAAGTGAACAGAAAACTCGGCCAAAGCAAAGTGAAAACCTCAGCTTAAGCCAAAACAGAAAATTCTAGGCTCGTGTGGGCAGTGGACACTTTAATGGCCTGATCCAGGGATCAGACTGTGAACTCTGCACGCTGGAGGTCTCATTCTCAGGCTGCCCTCAGAGCGACAAGATGGCTGTAGCAGCCCCAAGCCTCCTATAAATATTGGTTCCAGCTGGCGTATGTATCCCTCCCTGAACCAATTACTGAAGGAATCCAGTCAACCAAGAACCAGCCCTGAAGCTGGTTAAATCTACAGAATGCAGATGCCCAAAGGAAATTTAAAGGACCCTTGCGTAAAAAGCACTGTGTTCCTCTGCTCCGAGTTCAGACAAATCCTTGGAACTGGAAAACCCTCCCCCACCCTTATTTTTGCTTTTCTGAGTTTTTCTATGCCTTTGGCGGCCAAGGTTAAAAATGACTGTCTCGGGGCGCCTGGGTGGCGCAGTCGGTTAAGCGTCCGACTTCAGCCAGGTCACGATCTCGCGGTCCGTGAGTTCGAGCCCCGCGTCGGGCTCTGGGCTGATGGCTCAGAGCCTGGACCCTGTTTCTGATTCTGTGTCTCCCTCTCTCTCTGCCCCTCCCCCGTTCATGCTCTGTCTCTCTCTGTCCCAAAAAAATAAATAAACGTTAAAAAAAAATTTTTTTTAAATTAAAAAAAAAAAAAAATGACTGTCTCCCAGGCTTTTCTACAGTGTGAGGTACACGCAGAGTCTGGTGACCTTGGTGGGTGTTCATTTCTTGCTCCCTCAGTTTGCCTAATCGACAACACTTTTCCTCCAGAGGAGAAATATGTCCCTTTGTCCTTTTAATATACTCTCCTTTACATTTTCCCCCAAATGTTGGAGGATCAGAGAGCCCCAGGCTCATCTACAAATAAGAGCGTCATACTAACACCTGGATGACAAAAATATGCAAAACCTCCCGAAGAGCAAAGCAGAAAATACCATCAGTGGTCATTTTACATCTGACGACTAATTAAAATGGGAAGGGGGAAGAGGCTACCCAACATGTAATTATAGAAAACGAGCAGTAGCTGAGCTAGAGCTGACGGCCTAGCCATGGGGCTCCCTTCAGGCTGTGCAGGAGGAAGCAGAAGGATGGAAGGTGCTGGCGGGGCTCTGCTTATGGTGACTGGAAACAAGTTTTCCGTGGGACTTTGTCGTTTTTCTTTCTGGTCGCTCACTCCCCTTCCCTCCCAAGCATCCCCATGCTGCTCAATGCTGCTCTGTCCTTCAGCCCTTGCTGGGCAGAAAGTGCAGCCTGCTCGGCAGATATGGCAAAGCAGATACGTGTAACCACTGGCTGAAGAGAGGAGACAGGACTGGTCCCGAGACACAGTTCTGGAAGCGGCTGTCTGTGCCTTTGTTACTGTCACATCATTCCCGGGACCAAAGGAGAGGAGCGGAGCAGTCACCCTCCCTTTCAGCACCTTCCTGGGAGGGGCGGTTGGCTTGTCCCGGCCCTGCTGGTGCATCTTAGTTTGTGAGCTCTGAGGGGGCCAGGAACCACGACGACAGATTTGATCGTCCTCATAAAGCACGGAGGCTGGCACCCCTCATTCATTCTCACGTTCGTGGATTGCGTGAAGATGTGCCAGACGCTGTGCTGGAGGAAAGGTGGGGGGGAAGATGCACCAGAGCACCACTGCCTGGCCTCACACAGTGAGTGAGTGCAGGGGAGGGGGTGGGGGGATAGCTCTGGGCTACAGATTACATCTCTGGGCTTTGTGCCCCCAGAGGACACCCTGTATTTATGTTTGCTGGTGAGCTTCTTCAGTCTGACTTATTTCTTGGTGGATTATCCATTCAGATCACATGCCTAGATCAGAGAAGGCGTTCAGTATGTCTCATTCATGGAATGAATGAATGAGTGAGTGAATCACAGTGTGACCAGTGCTCTGAGAGAAATCTGAGGTGCTGTGGGAACACATATGACGACTGCCTAAGGGAGAGGTGGGCAGGTCGTGGAAGGCTTCCTGGAGGAAGAGACAGCCGAGTAAGAGAGGACAGTAGGGTAGGAAAGGGCGAGGCCAAAGAGTAAACAAGGTAAAAAGCAGTCTAACAGTGACTAGTGCTAGTAACAGTGCTAGGAGTAGAGAGGCAGAGGATAGAGAGGTAAGACACAGAAATGGCACAGATGAGGAAGTGACCACCTCTTCTGGGGAGTCAGGGAAGGTGCTGGGCGAGGCAGTGGGATTTTGAGGGATGCAGGGGAATCTGTTAGGGTGATATGAAAGAAATCTACAGCCATTTCTTTTTCTTTCTTTTCTTTTCTTTTTTTTTTTTATTTCTCACTTGACCCTCACTCAGATCTAGGCTTGAGTGTTGCTTTCCTGACCATCCAGGTCCAGCTAGAGGCTTCCTATTAGTCCCCATTGCAACCCCTCTTACCAGTGTGTGGCCTTTTGGGTCCTGTGCTGTAATTGTTCGAGTGTTTTTCTGTCTTCCCCACTGGACTAGGAGCCCCAGGAAACAGAGACCATTATTATCATTTGCCATTTTGACCCCACCATCTGGCATGGTTCTGGGGGAATGATGGGGCCTCGATAAGTATTTTCTAAATGAAGTGATAAACTCAGGAAGAAAAGCGTGGAGGAAGTCTAAGTTAGCACGGCCTGGAGGAAGAATTATATAGGGAGAGAAAATGATAAGAGAGGACTTTGGAAAGATGATGAAGAACATTGGAGGCCATGCCACAAAGCTTGGAATTGATCTGTTTTGTGATGGGGAGTCACTTGGCCAGATGCATTTTAGGAAGCTCACTCTGATCACAGTGGTCACAGCAGACAGCAAATTAGGACTGGAAATAGAGGCAAAAAGAGAGGCAAAAAGAGAGGCAAAAAGTCCGGCACCGGACTCGCTGCACCGGACGCATTTACAGAAGATTAAATGTAACCATCAGTTACTTGCTCACTAACTGTGAGCCCAGTTCATCATACTATGTACCTAGACAGACAGCCTACACAGAACACATATGGCAGTTGTGAGTAAATGAGGCTTGATCAAATTAGCAAAAGACTGGTAAAGAAAACACAAAAGGAAATGTTTTTAAAAGCATAAAATAAAATCTCAGAAAAATGGCCTAAAATAGGTGTCAGCATAACAAATTGCAAAGTTTTAGAGATTGGGTAAAAAAAAAAAAAATGCTGGTTTCTAGATATGTTCTTTACATTAAAGGGCAAAAATAAACGGAAAATATAGGAATGGGCAAATAAAAATCAGACAAACATGAACAAAAAGGAGGTGAGGTGGTGGTGTAAAATTAATATTAAATGAACAAAGTAGAATTCAGGTAAAGAAAAGATACAGTAATGAGCGGTGATAATTGGTGGAGTGAGCTCCCTAAGAAGGAGCAAGGGGATAGGACCCAGAGGATCCATGGAGAAACAGGTCTTGGATAGAAAGAAGCCTCTTCCACAGTGACAGGAAGAGAGGGGGAAAAGATGGGTGTCATCTTAGTTCATGATCCCTTAACTGAGGAGCCAACGATGAGTACACACCTATCTGAGGGTGAAGGAGGTGGGGTGTCTGCATCCCAGAGGGAGCCCTCAGGCAGCTGGAGACCACTGGGAAAAGGGCAGGACATCCACTGTGTCTGTGATGGGTAGGTTACTGGACTTAGGAGCAAGAAATAGAGGGGACAGTAGTTTGTCTGCTTTTATGTTCTCGGTGAAGCAGGAAGTGTGAGTGGTCTGCTGATGCTGGAAGAAGAAAAAGTGGGGCCTGAGGTTGAGAAAAGTAGAGCATCTTTGAGATCCAAACAGTGGAGGAAAATGATCCAAAAACAGAGCCCATCAGTGCACAGTTACTGTAGACCGAGAATTTACAACGCGTCCGTCTCTGTCTTCTGTGATTTTCTCCAGCACGGCTCAGCATCTTGGTTATGGGTGATGAGAGCCAGACAGTCAGATTGATCCGGGTGGGGATTTTTGCCAGGCAGCTGCAATAAAAGAACAGGGAGACAATGCAGCTGAGAACAGGGTAAGAGAAGCTTTTACATACTCAATCACATCATTCAGCCATCCTAACCTTCCTGGTCAAGGAAGGAATTGAAGACAGAGTAGACTGGAAGAAAGTGAAGAGTTTAAGGACAGAGTGTGTGAGGGAAGGTAACTGTACAAGATCAGCAAGAATGAGAAATTCTAGCAGATAGGATTGAGGCACACCTCCACCCAAGTTCTCTTGTGCCCCAGTTCAGTCCCATGTCTCTTGGCACTTTCGTGGTCTTCTGTTTCCACTCCATCAACATTTTCTACCTTTCCATCTAAGAGTCACTGCCTGTCATGCATACATTTTTTTAATTGAGGTTTATACTTGGGAGTTTGCAATATCCAAGGTGTGCTAAATGTATATAGTTTCTATACCAGCGTAACTTTAAGAAGCCTTGACATCTTAGATCGATCAGTGGCTTCTGTGTCAGTCTCCAATGGTCCCACTGAGCCATATGAAGAAGACCATGGATTCTCAATGACCTCTGTGGGGAATGGTGATGCAAAAAATTGAAAATGTTCTTATGTTTGTCTTTGGAATGAATTTTTAATTTCTGTTTGAATATGGGTTCCATAGACATGAAAACCTATTAAAGGAAAATCAAGAGTCATCTACACTTAATAAAATATGCAGGAATGGGATAATGATCTAGTAGCCCGTCTCTGCCTAGGCTTCTGTTAAGCTTTTAGAACTCCATATTGAATTAATCATTCTACACGGCACCAGTGGGAGAAATTCCACCTTGACCGCATCAGACTGATGTGTCACACTTGCACCCTCCTCTGTCAGGATTGGTGGTCCTTGTCATCTTGTCCCAGAAAATGAGACTGCTGACGCTCTTTTTTATTTCACCCGTTTTTTCTTCCTACTAAGCTATTTTTGCTACAGTCATTTACTGCCACTGGGATTTTTGCACAAGGTTAATAGTACTAATAAAATGAAGGGCAAAGCACCAAAGAGAGAACCTTGAAAGAATAGTCTGTAACCCTTTATTTGGTCAGGGCTAAAAACTCTGCAAGACATTACAGCCTTGAGTTTGGGGTGAAGGCCACTTTCAACCTTCTTTGCTGAATTGTTCTTCACTCTCTGGGCCCTGCACTTAATGTCATACTGGAATCTTGTAGAAGGAGTGAGTCCATTCCAGTGATGTCCCAACTGCTGCCTGGACGTTTTTTACTCCAGCTGCCATCACAGTCACATGGGAGCTTTTGAAAAATACCTGTGCCTGGGCTCTTCCTCAGACCAAGTAAATCAGACTCTCTGGGGTGTAGCAGGGCATGAGCTCCCAAGTGGTTCTATTAATTGGGCCAGAGTTGAGAATCACTGACCTGGACAAGGAGCTCCAAACTCTGCTTCTGAACAGTTGAGGGGGCAACCCTGGCTCACCGGCTGAGTTACTTGTTCATCACATGGCTGGGTTTAAGAGGGAAGCTTTGAAGGGCACCTGGGTGGCTCAGTTAAGTGGCCAACTTCAGCTTAGGTCATGATCTTACAGTTCATGGGTTCAAGCCCCGCATCAGGCTCTGTGCTGACAGCTCGGAGCCTGGAGCCTGCTTCAGACTCTGTGTCACCCTCTCTCTCTGCCCCTCCCCCACTCATGTCCAGTCTCTCTGTCTCTCAAAAATGAATAAACTTTTAATTTTTTTTATTAAAAAATTTTTTTAAACATTTATTTATTATTGAGAGACAGAGAGAGACAGAGCATGAGCAGGAGAGGAGCTGAGAGACGGGGAGACACAGAATGTGATGCAGGCTCCATGCTCCGAGCTGTCAGTGCAGAGCCTGACGCGGGGCTCAAACTCACAAACTGTGAAATCATGACCTGAGCCGAAGTCAGACACTTAACCGACTGAGCCACCCAGGTGCCCCAAATGAACAAACTTTAAAAAAAAAAAAGATGGAAGCTTTGAGCACCTGAGAAATTTCACTTCCCAGGCAGTGTGCAAGAGGCACAGCCCTAGAGGAGGCAATTTTGGTGTTCAGTTGAAAGAAGCAAATGCCAAGTGTGGAGTTTGTTTTTCATTTAGCTTTGGCCTCCAATTAAAATTCAAAAATTCTGTGGCATTTTTGAATGTTTTAGTCTATCCACCACTCTCCATGGGTCGCTTCAGAATAATCCAAAATAAATAATAAGTTTTCCTAAGCTTTGTTAAAGTGGGTATACTGTTAGAGTTGATACATTCCAATGTTGACTTTGCCTTTCGCTGTGGTCTCTGGAAAAGTCATTTATCTTCTTATGGAACTTTTGGTGCTTTAAATAGTACCCTTTTGGAAGATAAGAAGGGAAGTAACATTTAGTGAGCATCCTTTGTATGTGTAGTACTGTACTAAACACTTGATACATGCTGTTGAAATCATTTAGAGCATGGGCTGTGGAGCCAGAGTGCCTGGGCTTACATCCTGGCTGAGCTACTCCCAACAAATACACTCAAGAGCCCAGAGTGGTCCTGAGTTTCAAGTGACGTGACGTCTATAAAGTGTGTAGCACAATGGCTGGCACAATGCGAACTCTCGAAAAAGCATTGGCTGGCTTTATCATCGTCTCACAGAATTCTCACAGCGATCCTGGAGTGGGTGTCATCCTTCGTTTTAGAGATGATCAAAGTCTTCAAAGTCAACCTATTTATCCATGGACACATTTTAGGATTGTTGCAAACTAAGAGAAATAATTTCAGGACTCGAGAGAGACTTAACCTGCAAAAGTGAGCTCTGTTCTGGGGGGGAGGAGGGACAATGATGAATAAGACGGACAGACTCCCTCTCTTTGTGGAGAGTCGGCAGAGCTCTCTGTTGACCTTCAGGACCCATGAGGCACTGTATGTACCAGATCTTCTGGTAGCACATTCTTCACCACGATTATGTATTCTTTCCTAGTTAATAGACAGCTCTAGTCCCTCATAGGGAGTAGCCCCTAAGGGTCTTGACTAATCACAAAATGCTCAAAGATGGAGAGTCACCAGGTGGATATTTTTGCTACCTCAGGAGTTTCTTCTGGGAAGACTCTCCCTTGTTTCCTGAAACCAGGGCCCCTGGTGCTAGCGTAGCAGAAGGAGTAACAAGAGGCTATCAGTGCTTTAAGAGGGCAAATACAGGTGTTATTCTACGATGAGTCCCAGATCCATGGCAACCTCCAAGACCCCTTCTGGAATGTTCGTTCATTCTTTCTTTTCTTTTTCTTCTCTTCTCTTCTCTTCTCTTCTCTTCTCTTCTCTTCTCTTCTCTTCTCTTTCATTTTATGTAGTTTAATTTACATCCAAGTTAGTTAGCAATGATTTCAGGAGTAGATTCCATAATGCCCCTTATTTATTTAGACCATCCCTCCTCCTACAACCCCTCCAGAAACCCTTTGTTTATTCTCTGTATTTAACAGTTTTTTATGTTTTGTCCCCCTCGTGTTTTGTATCATTTTTGCTTCCCTTCCCTTATGCTCATCTGTTTTGTATCTTAAATTCCTCATATGAGTGAAGTCATGTATTTGTCTTTCTCTAATTTCGCTTCGCATAATACCCCCCAGTTCCATCTATGTAGTTGTGAATGATAAGATTTCATTCTTTTTTTTTCTACTTCATTTATTTTATTTTTGTTTTTTACTTTTTTAATTTTATTTTTTATTTTTTAAAATTTACATCCAAATTAGTTAGCATATAGTGCAACAATGATTTCAGGAGTATATTCCTTAATGCCCCTTACCATTTAGCCCATCCCCCCTCCCACAAACCCTCCAGTAACCCTCTGTTTGTTCTCCATATTTATGAGTCTCTTCTGTTTTGTCCCCCTCCCTGTTTTTATATTATTTTTGTTTCCCTTCCCTTATGTTCATCTGTTTTGTCTCTTAAAGTCCTTATATCAGTGAAATCTTACGATTTTTGTCTTTCTCTGATTAACATCACTTATCATAATACCCTCCAGTTCCATCCACGTAGTTGCAAATGGCAAGATTTCATTCTTTTTGATTGTCAAGTAATACTCCATTGTGTGTGTGTGTGTGTGTGTGTGTGTGTGTGTGTGTGTGTGTGTGTGTGTATTTACCACATTTTCTTTATCCATTCAGCCATTGATGGGCATTTGGGCTCTTTCCATACTTTGGCTATTGTTGATAGTGCTGCTATAAACACGGGGGTGCATGTGTCCCTTCGAAACAGCACACCTGTATCCTGTGGATAAATGCCTAGTAGTGCAATTGCTGGGTCGTAGGGTAGTTCTATTTTTAGTTTTTTGAGGAACCTCCATACTGTTTTCTGGAGTGGCTGTACCAGCTTGCATTCCCACCAACAATGCAAAAGAGATCCTCTTTCTCTGTATCCTCGCCAACATCTGTTGTTGCCTGAGTTGTTAATGTTAGCCATTCTGACAGGTGTAAGGTGGTATCTCATTGTGACTTTGATTTGTATTTCCCTGATGATGAGTGATGTTGAGCATTTTTTCATGTGTCAGTTGGCCATCTGGATGTCTTCCTTGGAGAAGTGTCGATTCATGTCTTTTGCCCATTTCTTCACTGGATTGTTTGTTTTTTGGGGATTGAGTTTGATAAGTTCTTTATAGATTTTGGATACTAACCCTTTATCTGATACGTCATTTGCAAATATCTTCTCCCATTCTGTCGGTTACCTTTTAGTTTTGCTGCTTGTTTCCTTCACTGTGCAGAAGGTTTTATTTTGATGAGGTCCCAGTAGTTCATTTTTGCTTTTGTTTCCCTTGCCTCCAGAGACGTGTTGAGTAAGAAGTTGCTGTGGCCAAGATCAAAGAGGTTTTTGCCTGCTTTCTCCTCGAGGATTTTGATGACTTCCTGTCTTACATTTAGGTCTTTCATCTATCTTGAGTTTATTTTTGTGTGTGGTGTAAGAAAGTGGTCCAGGTTCATACTTCTGCATGTCACTGTCTAGTTTTCCCAACACCACTTGCTGAAGAGACTGTCTTTATTCCATTGGATATTATTTCCTGCTTTGTTAA